ACATCAGGTTCAAATCCAACAGAGCTTAAAGGTTAAACAAACAACAACAAGAAAAAGAAAACTTATCAGAGTAATTCAGGAGTGGGCTCTCTTTTCCCTCTTTGTTTTTGTTTTTTTTTTTTGGATAAAAAGGATTCCCATATAGTTTGGGGAAGAAACCAGGGCCAGCTGTAGACACTTTTTCCAAGATCATCCCTCACTCCCCTGGAGTCCTGTCTGATGTTTTAGTAATGCTTTTTGTATAATTATTAATCCTATTAGTGTAGTCTGTGGTTAAATAATCTTTATGCAGTGAGATTATCCTGGCTGTCTGTTCCTGTTTCCCAGCTCCCCTTAGAGTTGCTGCCTTTGGTTACATTGTTTCAGATTACATGCTTTTTCAGGACCTCTGGTAACTTTGATCCTTTGTGTGTATCTTCTCTGTCAAGATGTATCTTCTCTGTCAATTAGAGGATAAGGAATGTTTTTTTTCTATCTCTACTAGTGTTCAAAAAATACTTCATGTCGATGGACAGATTGCCTGAGGAGTACTGATGATGCGTTTGGAAACTTGTGTTTTATTTCCTCCAGGGGAGCCAGGAAGTGGGACAGAAAGTGACACGTCTCCAGACTTCCACAATCAGGAAAACGAGCCTAGCCAGGAGGACCCTGAGGATCTGGATGGATCTGTGCAGGGAGTGAAACCTCAGAAGGCTGCTTCCTCTACTTCCTCAGGGAGTCACCACAGCAGCCATAAAAAGCGAAAGAATAAAAACCGGCACAGGTCAGTGGCAGGGACCCCACCCCCCGCAGCTTCCATGACCCATTACTGTGAAGGGAATGGCCTAGAATAACAATGCTTTAGGATTGTTATAGAGCCTTTCTGTTGTTGATGGCAAGAAAGTCCTTTGGTCCAAGGGAACAGTCTAATTTGCTCAGAGAGAGGAATTGGTGGACATTAGAATAACCCTCGAGGAAGACTCCAGGATATCCTTCTCACTGTTTCTAGTGCAGAATAATTTTATTCCATAAAACCTTGTTTCATATGGTGAACGTGGGATACTTTTAGAAGAGAAAAAGGAGAAATAGAAATGGGATCCATGTAATAGTGTTTGAAAAATGCCACTAGTACGTAATAGAAAGCTGTAAAGTGGGATAAAGTCTTCTGCTGTTAATCTTGATCTTTACCTACTTTTATTTCTTTGTGAAGAGAACTGATTTGACATGCATTTTTTTTCCTCTTTCAATACAAGTTTTTTTATTGCTTGTGATTTTTCCGTTTCTGTATTTCTCAGCAACATGCTGACTTCAGATAATGGAAGAACAGTATAAAACCTGTAAAGTATGAGAGTGTCTTCGTAGGTAACGTGTAACGTTGGTGCACTGTGTTTTTTTTTTTTGCAGTATACATAATGAGATAGGAATGATGTCAATGGACAGAGAGGCCAGGTGTCACCCAGAGGGGGTTTCAGCATTCACTCTGCCTGGGGTTTGTATGATAATGCGGGGACTTGTTAACTCAGATAATTGGAAATTATGCAGCTTGACCCAAAGAGGATAATGTACAGTTTCTAAACTAAGGAATTTTGCTGGCCTCAAACTTTCTGGGATACATGAAGACCCTATACGTACCTGTTTCCATGCTTCCTAGAAGTTTTGAAGCAAGAGCAAGATTCCTCATTCTAGAAACTGTGCATTCTTTCCTCCTCTCCTGGAAGACTGCGTGCAGAGCAGGTGAAAAGGGGCATACAAGGAATGGGTGGCATTCCCTGTCCTCCAGTGTGCTTCTGGATTTGCTTTACAAATCTGTAGCATATTCCTTCATGCACCCAATGTATTAAACTTGGCAGTGCCTGAGGATAACGTAGCATTAACTCTGCCTGATTTGAACCTCCTTGGTTGGCATCAGCTGGATCTTCAATTCTTTTTTTTTTTTCTTTTTTTATGCTCCTTTCTTAAACATCAGAATTTTCAGGATCTTCAATTCTTTTAAGAGTTTTTCTTGTTGATGGTAATAGTGTTTTTTAGACTGCAGAAATAGTATTCCTTCAAATAGTGAGTAAGGACTGCTGCTTAACATTTTTCTGCAAACCAGAAATCACCATCCTAATCACATAACTATGCTAAGAAATAGCAAAAATTGCATATTCCTCTTTATATATTTTTGAAAGGCTATAGGTTATTTGACCAACTGTAATAAGACTGGTGCTAGCTTATCATGAATAGAAAAGAAGCATACTCTTTTATTTAATTGTCAAGATAATTAAACATCATACTCTGCATTACTTCTGTCAAATTTATTCCAGTGTCGTTTTATTTATTTATTTATTTATTTATTTTGAGACAAAGTCTCGCTCTGTCACCCAGACCAGAGTGTAGTGGCACGATCTCAGCCCCCTGCAACCTCTGCTTCCTGGGTTCAGATGATTCTCTACCTCAGCCTCCCGAGTAGCTGGGATTACAGGAATGCACCATGTGCCTGGCTAGGTTTTGTATTTTTAGCAGAGACAGGTTTCACTGTATTGGCATGAACTCCTGATCTCAGGTGATATGCCTGCCTCGGCCTCCCAAAGTGCTGGGATTATAGGTGTGAGCTGGTATGCCTGGCCTAGTGTCATTTTAAAGTAATGATTATTTTCTTATTTCATAGTGTCTAGAGGAGGGAGGAAACTCTTTCAGAATTTCTGGGGCTTTTTCCATTACTGATGAATAGACTCTCTAGATAGCTGTTTATTTCAGGTCATTTTCATTAATGACGTCATTACCTGATGACTGATAAAAAGGAGTTAAGCGCTAAACTTCACTTTCTTCTTGCAGGTTTTAGCACATTTAGTAGGAACAGTACTACTTCCTATCCTTTCCTTGCCGTAGGAGCTATCTCCTTCCAGAAGAATAGTGGTGTTGTAAAGATCTTTGATATTAGTTACTGCTTCACAAATAGTGTTTTCTGTTTGGAAAGCAGAATCCTGCTTTTTATTGCTGTCCTTTTGTCTTCCCTCTGATTTAATATCTGGCTGATCTCCCTTGGCCTTAGGCACTCACCTGCCCCAAGAAAGGAGAGTGAAGTTGATTTTCTTCCTTTCTAGGGAAGCTAGATTCAGTGTGCCTGAATGGTACATGAGTGGCCATTTAAGGGTCTTAGACTCATGCCATCTTTAGTCAGGAATTGTGTCTGGTCCAAGCCCCTTACTGCTGACCAGACCTCAGTGGGCCTGGCAGATTGGGGTGGGGACAGAAGATGGTGTCTATGTACATTGCTAAGTTCGTACCCAGTACAGTACGTGTTTCTCCTCCAGTGTGCCATACCGCATATAGTGAGATAAAAGTCAATAATAAATTATTTCAGCAAATGTTTGAGTACTTACTATGTGCCAGACTCTGTTTAGTGGTGAGCAAAGCATGGTGGAAATAAATATGGCATTTAAGCAAAAGGAAATAACTTTTGAATTTGCCCTCTTCGGGAATATGAATTTTTTTTTTTTTTTTTTTGGGAAACAAGATCTTGCTCTGTTGCCCAGGCTGGAGTGCAGTGGTGAGATCATGAGGCTTACAGCAGCTTCAACCTCCCGGGCTCAAACAGTTCTCCCACCCCAACCTCCCAAGTAGCTGGGAATACGAGCATGTGCTACCGCACCTGGCTAGTTTTTGTATTGTTTTTGTAGAGACGGGATTTCACCGTGTTACACGGGCTGGTCTTGAACTCCTGGGCTTGAGTGATCCTCCTGCCTTGGTCTCCCAAAGTGCTGGGATTACAGGCACGAACCACCACACCCCACTAGAATATAAAAATTTATCAAATAATTTTTAGCATCCATAAATGATGACATTGTTCGGAATTCTTATATTTTACATGATACCTAAACAGTAAGTCATTCCTGGTATCTTTAAAGAAAAGGTTGAAATAATAGCACATAGTGGCCAGGTTTCTGTGGCTCATACCTGTATTCAGCACTTTGGGAGGCTGAGGTGGAAGGATCACTTGAGCCTAGGAGTTTGAAACCAACCTGGGCCACATGGTGAGACCCCCCTCTCTACAAAAAATACAGAAATTAGCTGGGCATGGTGAGGTGCCTGTGGTCCCAGCTACATGGGAGGATGAGGCTGGAGGATTGCTTGAGCCCAGGAGTTTGAAGCTTCAGTGAGCCATGATCACACCACTGCACTTCATCCTGGGTGACAGAGGAAGACCCTGTCTCAATGATAATAATAATAATAATAATAAATAACATATAGCTATTCTTATAAGTTTCTGTTAGTATAAAAATTTATTTTAGATAGTCTATAAAGTGTTGATTAATTAGATACAGTCTATTTTAATTTGTGAACAAAGTCAAGTCAGGCTGAAAGTGAAATATTTGATAATTCCTGGTTTCGTACGCCTACTATATACTCTCCCAAATGTCTAAAGTGAAACTATTGTGTGAGAGATAATTGACATTAAGCTTTCTTCCAGCTTTACTCTTGCAAACATTGTCTAGGAGGAAAATGTATCCATTTGCATATTGTTTTAGCACCTGCTACAGTCTGGAAGGTGTTGGAGCCAGTGAAGGAGCAGGTGTCCTGCTCCAGGTTAATGTTTGCTTTGGAGGCCAGCCTAGACCATGGTCTGCTAGCAGTGATGGCACAAAATGGCCTCCTCCTCTGTACTGCTCCCTCCAGGTCCCTGAGACTCAGGTGCTTGTGGATGGCAGCTTTCTCTTGTTTTAATAGGGGTGCTGCAGGCTGGGCGCAATGGCTCATGCCTGTAATCCCAGTACTTTGGGAGGCCAAGGTGGGTGGATCAGGAGTTCGAGACCAGCCTGGCCAATGTGGTGAAACCCTGTCTCTGCTAAAAATATAAGAAGTAGCAGGGTGTGGTGGCATCAGCCTGTAATCCCAGTTACTAGGGAGGCTGAGGCAGGAGAATCTCTTGAACCCAAGAGGCAGAGGTTACAGTGAGCTGGGATTGCACCATTGCACTACAACCTGGGCAACAAGAGCGAAACTTTGTCTCAAAAAAAAGGGGGGAAGGGTGCTGCACACTTCGGTGTTCCTTAATTGTAGCCCTGATGTAGAAAGTTAACTGCCTTCACCTACTTAGGTGGCAAAGCAATACTGTTCTTCATTTTCTGGAACAAGATTCCACTACTGAAGTTTATTCATTCAACTTTGAGCTTCTAGGATGAATGCTGTAGAAAAGGAGCATGGTGTTCCCTGGACATGTTTAGAACATGTAACTTGAGTGAAAAGTTGTAAAATGTTTTCCTTTTTTAAAGTTTAGAATGTTCTGTAGTTTTTTTATTTTAGTGAAAATGTATTATGCCGAGTTAGTACTGTCTTCAAAGTGCCTTTCATTATATAACTAAACCTCTTTCTCTGTTTCTTCTAATGTCCTAATTATATTTTTCAATACAATTAAATATTTTAAAAGTTCTAACCCTGAATCTGGCAGCTAATAAAAGGGCTCCAGGTGTCTGGTAGTTTTCTAATGAAATAACTTTTTCTTTCATAGTCTAGTCTTCTGATTAAGAAATCCATTGAAGGAAGGGAATCTCCTGACCACAAAATCTTTGGTGCTTTGATGTTTGAAACTTTGTTGCTTAAGATTCTTAAAGCTGATATTGTTTCTACAATTCTTGCTAGGGTGGCTAATCAACTAATTTATTGAATTAGTGTATTAATTTCTATTGCTTTCTTCCTTTCAAATGCTGCCCCTCAGCCCGTCTGGCATGTTTGATTATGACTTTGAGTAAGTTTGATTTGAATTAGTATTTGTGCCGTGTTGTTTAGTGTGTAGACACCAGTATGCCTTTTTGAGACCTTTCTAACCCATAGTTTATCTGTTTAATTGTAGGTATATATATTAGGTTAGGCTGGGAAGTTTTTTTTAAAAACAGAAAAACGTGATGGAGGTAACATTTTATTTAATAACTTAAGCAAAATTAAGTAAACTTCACTTTTATGCATTTTAGCTTCTTTTAAAATAGATAACCTTTAATTCATATTTAAATTGATTTTCTGGCTTTGCTTCATAAGGAGATTAATAGCTTAAGATCTTGATATTTTGCTTTGGAAAGATTTAAAAATTGAAATTCATTTAATTTACTTTGTGTTTCATGTCAGGAAATACAAACTGCTAGTCTCTTTCCTGTTGTTAATCACCATGTGCCTCAATAATTTTCAGTGATACAGTTACAGAACTAACACATTAACATAGAGCATGCCCTCTTAATTCAATCTCTTTAACATGTAGTTTTGGAATAGTCTTAAAATTATATGGCTTTTGTAGCTGCTGTATACATTTCTTTTTAGAGTCATCTAAGTTTGCCTTAGGGCAAAAGTGTCTGCTCATAATTTTTAATACTTGCTTGATAATATCTGGGTAAACAACTAAATATGACATAGTCTAATGAAGAATGTGGATTTTTCTTAACCAAATAGTCTTTGTTATAGCTTATGCCCTATGCAGTAGCTGATTGTGGGACCCATTTTCTTTAAATTAAAATGGAAATATCTTTTATCTTTTCTGTCACAGGATTGATCTGAAGTTAAACAAAAAACCACGAGCTGTAAGTATCAGCCAGACCACTTCAGAGAGGCTGGCAATTTTGTAGATGATTAGACAAATGTATTTGTCTTCAGAGCTTGGGCGTTCCTAACCTGGAGTCATAACTCTTGATTTAAAGGTTGGGGTGTCCATCTGGATATACTTCAACTTGTAGGTGTTATTTATTTATTTATTTTTTTGAGAAACAGTTTCTCACTCTGTCACCTAAGCTGGAGTGCAGTATTATCACAATCACAGCTCTCTGCAGCCTTGACCTTCTGTGCTTGGCCTCCTGAATAACTGGAACTACAGGCGTTACCTCCTCGCCTGGCTAATTTTTGTATTTTTTGTAGATATGGGGTTTTGCCATGATGCCCGGTCTGGGAATTCCTGTACTTAAGCAATCCTCCTACCCCAGTCTCACAAAGTGTTGGGATTATAGGCATGAGCCAATGTGCCCGGCCTGTGGCTTTTGTATTTTAAGGACAGAAAAAGGTCACATGCGTTTTTTTTTTTTTTTTTTTTTTTTTTT